CGATGTGATGACTTGATGTGTACGAATGGACGTGTGTCTGTGTGATTGTCTGGAAGTACGTGATGGCCTAGGTGGGGTTTAGGGGTGAACTTGCTGAGAAGTGTTCTCATAGTTGTTTCAACCAAACCATTTCAGAGCCCCCGCCTGAGCCATGATCATATTGAGGCCGACTCGGAGCCGTTGGGTGAACAGACAGCTGAGGAGGATTCATGTGGTGATGCTGAGGACAGTGAGTCAGAGTGGACGCCTCCGAGAGGGCGTAGGGACTAGTTCTGGAATCGAGGCAATAAATTGAGAGGGCTCCATTTTTGGATAATGCTGATCTAGGATGCTGATCCTTTTTTGTATTTTGGAAGTTAATAATTACTGGTTCGGTGTGCTTGTAATAATAAATAATATTGTAAATATTATGGTGTAAGTTTGGCAATGAGAACGAATATGTTCATTCTCCCTGATTGATTCCCCAGTTTTAATTGTCCGGGATTATTTGTTAGTATCCTCTGTGATTGTAAATCTCTGATGGTTATTTGAGGTCGGCGACATTCCTGGGACGTCGCACTTATCGACCAGGTAAGGGGTGTCGTGTGCCCGTTGAGGTTCGGGGTGTGACACAGTTGGCCTTTTTTGTTACGGATTCCATACAGGTTTCAATTGTTGCTTTCCTCTTTTATGAGGAAATGCTTGTTTTTTTCCTTATTATAATGTTTTTGCCCAAATTTTTTTTATTGTTATTTGTGAGTTAGAACGTTTCATCATAATGATTATCCACACATTTATTTAATGTTAATCATAAGTATTATCACTAATTATGCATTTACTTCTAATGTCATGTATTTGTCATAATAAGCTGTCATGTAATAATATCTATCCCCCACATTGTTTGAATGTTTCAAAAAGTCATCGTAATACTCAATTTAGAGTACTCAAAGATTTAGGAAAGTATAATAATAGTCATATGATTTTTTGGTCGTAAGAAGTTGTAATAGCATTAATTTCATTTATTTGTCGAATATAAGCTGTCATGTAATAATAGGTACACCCCACATTGTTAAAATACTTCATAAACTCATCATAGTCCTCAATTTAGATTATTAATGAATTTATGGAAGTGTGGAAATAGTCATTCAATTTTTTGGTAGTGACAAGTCGTAATTGCTTTAAATTTATTTTAACCAAATGAAAAATGTCAATACTCGCTTCTTAGGGGACGAGTCATAAGAGTCATGACACAGTTAATTTTCTCCAAACAAACATTATGTGGGAGGCGGATATCTTCCATTCAATACTTGTATGACAAACTTGTTTTTTTTCCATGGTCGCGGACTTGGGGAAGTCTGTAAATATGAATTTGGCAAATGAGGTTTTAGCTTGTCGTAGTTTCATTAATTTCATCTGAACTAAATGAAAATTCCATATGAGCTCTTAAATGAACAATTCATGCCATGTCAAATTTAGGAAATTGCAAAAGTATTCATTTGGTATTTGAGGTCGTAATTGTGTTATTTGTGTCATAACTCCATGAAAAATGTTCTACTATCTTTTTTATGCACTAGTATTAGCAAGTGGTAAGGATCGTAAGGTAATTGATTCTATCGCATTGCTTTTCATGCTTGTTGCAATGCAATATACTCGGCCTTAATCATTATTATACTGAAATGAAACCATCAATCGGCCCCTCCCTGTATGTATCATTAACAAGCTTTTTTTTTCCTCTTGAATGCTCACGATTTGTGAGGAAGTTTGGAAATTCCTTCTTTGAGGTCATAACTCAATATAATCACATTTATTGGGTCATTTTTTTCAATATGGCAGGTACAATTTCCACAGCTCGAGTCGATGGTTCTCTCTCACATGGACAATTTAAGCAAAATATGGACCTTCAATCTTCAGGAAACTTTCACTTTTAAACATTTGCGGAAAGTGGAGGTTCAAAATTGTAAGAGGCTTAAAAATTTGTTTCCCCATTGGGTGGCCAAAAGAGTAGACCAACTTGAGAAACTTCAAGTGGAGTTTTGTGTGATCGAGGAAATAGTCGCAAGTGGAGATGACACTCCACACTCCATTATCGCTGAAGTTCTTTTCCCAAAATTGACCTCTTTGGTTCTGCATGATATGCCAAGACTCAAGAGCTTATGTCCTAACTTGCCCACTCTGAACTGGTCATCCTTGCAGGAATTGCGAGTTACCCACTGCGACAAACTAAACATGTTGTCCTTTCCGACATCCATGAATAGGTCGACTCAGAGAGATGATGAACATGACCTTTTAGTCCATGAAGCACATTCTTCATTTGAGAGGGTATGATTGCAACTGCTCTTGCTCAATTTCTACTTTGTTTTATAATGCACTGTCTAATCTCATGTCCACTACATAGTCATGAAATTGCCCATCAGTTTGTCGATATCAAAAAATATTATTATCTTAAGTATACTTTTCATTTGTGGAAACTCCAAAGATATTCCATTTCCTAAAATTACAAAAATAATTACATATTGTTATTGAAAAAAAGATATTCCTAATCTAATTTAATTGAAATAATGTATTGCAGTGCTCCTTGAGGAAGTCAATAAGGACTAGACATGGGGTCCTCTCCATTGTTGACACGTCTCACCATTGAAATTTTCTTCTGTTTTATATTTTTTACAAACTCTAAAAACATAATTTTCAACAGTTTTCTTAAAAAAAAAACATTAGAACCTTAACTCACTATATTCTAATTTTTTCTTTTACCGCCCATTATATCTTATGTCTAAGTTTGCGGAGGATCTTCGTTTGCCCACCGCATCTCTAGATTTTCCTTTGGTGCTCTATGTCACATTATTTGGACCGAAAGGAACAACGCTATCTTCAGGAACAAAAGCGTTTTCATCCCTGGTATGCGTAAGCATCTCTTCAAAGTCGTGAAGGACAAAGCTATTTCAATGGGGACAGTTGAGGATACCTATAGGAACCGCATTATCCAGAGAAAGTGGGACCTTCCTCCTTCTATCTTTGATTAATGACGATTATGGCTGTTCTGGTGTCTTTTGGAGCGGATTCCGGAGTTATGGGCGTCACCTCCATCGTTCGGTTTGGTCCGGCTTCTTGTGGTGGTTATGGTTTCCCGCCGATTTTTGTGCTGCATGGCTGTTCCGGGGCCCTACTCTGCAGACTACCGGAGTTTTGGCGTCGCCCATCCATTCTGCGGCTGGATTGGTTGTCTTTGTATTCTTATTTCTATTTTCCATGTTCTTAGCCGTTCTTCGGCTTGTTGTATAGTTCCTGCTGGACCCTCTTGACCTTGTTTGGACATTACTATGTCCTAATATGGTCATGAGCTGGTTTGGGCTTAGGTTGTACTTGGTGATTTGGAAAGTTATACATATCCTTACCTTACCAAAAAAAAAAATATCTTATGTCTACCACATAGTCAAGTCAACATAGAAAATTCGAAACCCATTACCTATCAATCTTTAGACAACATAAGATATTTCTAAATGCTTAAACACATTTTTAAGTTTGGGGAACCCCCTATATTTTAGTAACATAATGAGTGCATTTTGTTGCACAAAATTCCAAAGAATGACAGGTTTTCGCTGACAACGTAAGACATTTCTATTAAAAGATGAATTCGGTGAGCTAGTTGGTTTTGAATTTAGATTCGCTCTACCAACCAAACGGTACCAACCTCTACTTAAAAATTTCTCTTCAAATTTTCAATATGGATGGTTGTAGTGGAGCATTCGATCACAATTGTATTTTGTAGCATGAGTATAAAAGCTTGAGACTTGTACGCAAGGCTCTTGAGATATAATGAATCACAAGAAGATGGTCACCTTCCATGCCAATCATCTGACTTAGGTTTACCTTTAATAACACATGATTTATTACCGAACCTTTGTTGAATTTACTTTTCTCGTTGTATTGGTAATTTGACAGGACTTTCCCAAATTAGAGAGACTTTTATTAGTCAATAAGGATATTCAGATGATACAAGATGGAAAATTTCCTAAAGACATCTTTGGCAAGCCAAAAGCACTAACATTGGCATGCTTTCATGATGAAAAGGACGCCTTTCCTCCCAGATTCCTCTTAGAGAGATTTCAGAATTTGCAAAGCCTTGAAATCTTTTGTAGTTCCTTTGAAGATATATTCCTTGACGAAGGGCTTGTTGATGAGCAAAAACATTTGGTGCTTGAAAATTTAAGAGAACTTAAATTAAGCAAGTTACGCAATCTAAAGAATGTATGGAGAGAAGACTATTTAGTGTAAAAAATTCTCCAGAGTATCAAAACTTTTGAGGTTTGGGATTGTCCTGCTTTGACAACATTACTTCCGGCCATGACATCATTCCAGAATTTGACGGAGATAGTGGTGAAGAATTCCTCTGGATTGGTACATCTGCTAACAGTTTCAACGGTCACAAATTTGGCGCATCTCACCGGGATAACTATAATAGGATGTGAAAGAATGAAAGAAGTAGTGACAAATGATGGTAGCGGAGAAGGAAGAGTGATTTCTTTTGGGAAGCTAGGATGGTTGTTACTCTGCAATCTGCCAAGCCTAAAGTGCTTCTCCTCCACCGCAAATTGCATCTTTAGGTTTCCATCCTTGTTTGAAATTGAAGTGGAAGAATGCCCGAAAATGAAGATATTTTCGAAGGGTATGGTAAGCACACCAAATCTACGTTATACAAAAATGTTCAGATACTCATGGGACGTGAAGTGGGAGGGTGATCTCAATACAGCCATACAAAAGTTATCTACATAAACAGCTAGTAAGACCCAATAAATGTCATTTGAATCCGTTTGTTTTTCTCATGCCTATGCTTCTCAAATTGTCCTATGCCTAAAGCACTGTCACGCCCCGGACCCTAACGGGCTCGCGACACCCCTACGACGGTCGTATTAAACGCAATGTCCCAAGACGTGTCGTCGACTCAAACGAAACACCCAACGACATACGCAAGCGGAAGCAGAAATTAGACAACCCCGACAATAAATAATGACCAAGGGATAATATTTGTACAAATCAATAAATGCATTTTATAAATATACTTGGCAGATACAAACAGCATTCATAAAAAGATAACCACAAGCTAGGCCCCAAACAACATAACCACATTCAACAAAAAGGGGCAGTGGTTGGGTAGCCTACTTCACTATACAAAAAAGGGGCATCCACAAGATGGAAAGAAGCATCAAATGCCCGAAGTCACTCCTGGTCTGTTTACCGCACATGACGACTCTCCGTCACTCCAAACCTAAAAATGTTTAACAACGGGAGATGAGATAAATCTCAATAAATAGACAACCTAAACCCCACGTAGGCCAATATGTACCCAGACGAGTCTCAACATGCAATCTAACCATCAACATATCAGAATTTACATAAACATACTTACCTTGCTTCTAATCATGCGCCAACTCTGCATATTAGTCAAATTGCTAAAATACAATAATATCCCAAGAACATATCACAATCGCTCGAGCACCATATACACGTGCATTCATCCAATTCAATCAAGCACATTCCACATGCATGTCCACCCAACTATCCACGACCCGCGTAAACACGCCTCATGTCCTTTCTCACAACCCGCATCAACACGCCTCATGCCCATTCTTACAGCCCGCGTCAACACGCCTCAGGCCCAACTTTCTCCAATGACCCGCGTAAACACGCCTCAGGTCTAACCTGCCTTCCACGACCCGCGTAAACACGCCTCAGGCCATTCAGACAAGCACATATGCCACATTATGCATTCATTTTGAAAGTCAACCATACGACAAACTAACCAACCAATCAAACCCATATTCAAGCATCAACTCATACTTAGATCATCACGAATCAACCCGCCATTCAACGCACTTGGCCCCTCAATCAATCACACCGTCCGTAGACTGCCACAATTCCACCTTCAATGTCTCATCAATTTCGCCCAACAACAACCACAAACTATCACCAATCAAACATTAAATCACACGCAAACAATACCCAACATAGCATAAGTTCCAATACACATACTATCTCAAATTTAGCCACAAATTCAGCCATGAATCGCCCCAAATCATCCCTATCTCCACACACCAAACGTCACCATTTAATCCGCCATTTAAGCCTGTATAGACTCGACAATAACCTCCACAACCAGCAGCAAACGGGCACCCAAACAGCCACCAAAAATGGCTTCGAGCGACCGCCAAATCGGCCCCAACAACTCAGCCAATGACACCCCTAATTAGCCTCTAAATCCACTAAAATTTTCACACTAAACTACCCATAAACAAGTCCAATGATACCCATTGTACTAGGTAGGGTTTAGGGAGTCACTTACCTAAGTTTTGGCCCAAGGAAAACCGGCAAGGGGCCAAAATGGCCCGATGGAGCGGCAGCGGCTCGGCGCTGGCACGGGCGCAATGGGCAAGTTGGCCGGCAATGCTCGGCACAGCCCTCGACCACGGCCCGGGGCTCTAGGCCACGGTTGGGCTGGGCCCAGCCGTGCACGCGGGCGAGCGACCGGGCACCGGTGGATATGGGCGGCGAGGGCTGGACTCGCTCTCGGCCAATGGGGCAGCTGGTCGAGAACTCGGCCACAGCAAGGCGAGCGGCTGGCGAGCTCGGCCATGGCCTGGGCAACGGCCAGGCAACGGCGACGGCTGGGACGGTGACGGGCGAGGGCTGGGCAAGCGCGCGGCCGACGAGCTAGCGAGCTGGTGGGCAAACGACGGGCTAGCGAGCTAGCGGCCGAGCGACGGGCGAGCTAGGCAGCGGAGGGCTCGGCCAAACGAGCGGTGAGCTGGTGGTTGGGCAACGGGCGAGCTAGGCGGCGAAGGGCTTGGCTGAACGAGCGACGAGCGGCCGAGGGCAGGGACGGCGGTTGGACGGCTAGGGGGAAGCTGGGCGGCGGTGGTGGGAGTAGCGGTGGCTGGCACGGCGGCTGGGCAGCGCTGGGCCGCGGCGGCGAGCTGGTGCTCGCGCGGCAAGAAAGAAGGAGAAGTGGGCAGTCAGCCAAGGGGAAAGCGGCTGGACGGACGTTGGCCCTGCGAGCGGCGTGCAGCAGTTGGATGCACGGCAACCTTGGCGCACGATGGTGGCGGGTGGTTCGGGTGGAGGGTAGCACTCACGATGACTTGGGCAGACCGACGACGGGCAGTCGCGAGGCGATGGGCAGTGGCGCGGCTCGGTTGGGGTGGAGCTGAGGTAGTGGCGGCTCGTCGCCGAGAAAGCGGCGTGTGGCGGCGAGTCGACGGCATGCGGTGGCTGGGCGGTGAGCGGGAGGCGAGCGGCTGAGCAGAAGTAGGAGTCGCAGGCAAAGATGAAGGAGGAAGAAGAAGAAAGAAGAAAGAAGAAAGAAGGAAAAGAAAGAGAGAGAAGAGAAAGAAAGAGAGAGGGGAGTAGACCTGTGCATGCAGAGGGGAGGGGGGTGAGTGGACGTGATCGCGGGGGGAGGGGAGTGTCACGCCCCGAACCCCATCGAGCTCGCGACATCCCCTGCTTCTGTCGAAATGATGCGACGTCCCAGGAACGTCGCCGACCCAACACAAACATCAGACCCACATGCGGAAGCGAATAATAAAACCCCGGACAAATAATGACGACAACGGGGTAGAACAACAGAACAATCCAGCAACCACATATTCATACAACACCAAATATACAAACATCATATTACAGACATAAATACAGACTAACATCCTCAGTCACCGTTTAAACAAAAGTTCAAGGGTTTGGTTATCTTAACTTCACTATCGGATAACCCAAGTTATACAACCCCTAAAACACCCTAGGGAAAAACCTAAGGGTCGCCTTCTTCCATTCTCGTCAATCTCTCGGCTTGAATTCTCGGAACTCACTGCAGCCTCCACCGGGCACCAACAAGTAGCTCCCGACTTCCAAAAAGAAAAGGCGCACTTCCGGTTTAGTGGCCTGGTTCGAAAGTGGCGGTTATACAACCGTGAGACGAATCTCAATAAGTGTACAACCCCAAACCCCACGTAGGCACTCACGTACCGCCAGACAAAAACACACATAACACACAACGATCGGCCAAACTAACAATCACATGCGACCCTACCTGGAATCCATCACGCACGTTCCTGCACGTTAGACAATAACACAGCCAACACATCACAGCAAGGAATCACAGACGCGCGCATGCCTTAATTATAAGACAGAAACCACTTGGGCACGTCCCATACCGTGCCTAGCAGTTTCTACCCCATAATTAAGCATCACATCACGCGATACAAACACACTCGCACGCTACTCACACCATGCGTCACTTTCCACAATCCTCTTGCTTGTCTTGCCAAATCCCACTCATTCTCAACCTTTCCACCACTACCGCGCCCGCGTAAAACGCATCAGGCCAACGGTCTTCTGACCTCGTCAGGCATCGTCACCCCGTCGGGCCGGGCATCGTCACCTCGTCAGGGACGGCATCGTCCCGCGTAAACGTACACGCCTCAGGACGGAATCCTACACACACATTCCTTTTACCGCGCCCGCGTAAAACGCATCAGGCCAACGGTCTTCTGACCACGTCAGGCATCGACACCTCGTCAGGCCGGGCATCGTCACCTCGTCAGGGACGGCATCGTCCCGCGTAACGTACACGCCTCAGGACGGACCTTTCCAACCAAACCACATTTCCATATCCTCGTTCCACTCAAACCACACTTACGCACGACCAGTACTCGCACGGCCAAACACAATTCCACCTTGCATGCACATTTCACAATTCACATACCCTTTGCAAATATACATTCTCACCACGCCAGCACACCACACAATCATACACATATAACACGCGATCCCGAAGCACTATCACACATTCTTGGCACGCGAACATATTGTGCAATCGCACTGCCACACCATCACACCTCACGACCACACACGTGACATACACGACCACACGTACACAACCCGAAACACAATCCCAAATCAGCCAACTACCACAAATCGCACAATCACGCACAAATTTCCATTCAAGGCACAATCCCAATAATTAATCGCACAATTTAATTCCGATCAAACCTCAACATCACAGCCCTAATCCAAGCTCCCTAAACCTCAAAATTCTTCGCCTAATCAGTCCGCAACCACCAAATAATCAGTCACTAAAATCAGTCCCGAACAGCCCCTAAAACAGTCACAAATCGCCTAAATCAGGTCCTAAACGAGTCTAGAAATACCCGAGCTCCTAGGTAGTTTTTGGGGGAGACACTTACCCAAAAAGGCGAGACAGAACGGGCCGGGATAGCAGCAGCAGCGGGAGTGGCGGCGCGGCGATGTACGGACAGCGTGAACAGTGCAACCCCGTACGGACGCGGTGAACAGTACCACTTCGTACGGACACTGTACGGACAGGGCTGGGACGGTGGCCGGCGAGGTGCTGGTGACAGCCGCGGCGCCCCGTACGGTCCAGCGTGAACAGTGATTCGTACGGACGGTGAACAGTACCGTACGGACACTGTACGGACGGAGCTGGGCGGCGACGTATGGACGAGGCTGGACGGCTGGGTGTCGACGGAACGGCGATCGGAGCTCCGGCGGTACTGTTTGCAGATCGGGAAAGAGAAAAAGAGAGAAACAAGGCTGTTTTGGACAAAAACCGGGGCTGTGGTGGCTGAACAGGTGAGAGGGAGGTCCAAGGGTGCTTGTGGCGACGGCCAGTGAGCGGCCAATAGCCCGCCGGGCATGCATTCGGCGTGAACAAGACGTAAAATGCAAGAACCGAACTGCAGAACAAGAAATGAAGAAGAAGAAGAATTTTCACGGGGGAAATGACCGAATAGGCTGAGAGGAGAGAGAGAGGGTCTGGTCAAATAGGTCAAAGATAGCTTAGTGGGATCCATGTGTCAATAATCCAAGGGTTTGGACAACTTTGCCCTTGATCCAAGGGCCACCAATTGATCTTATCTAATAATTTAAGGGCCCATTGGTCAATTGTCCCTAACCCAAGGTTGACCAGACCTGGTTTAGCCTAATTGACCTTGGTTAGTCCCCAAATTTTGGTCAAAATTCGGAATAAAGGAAAATAGGCCTAGGGGCATTTTCGTAATTTTCCGATCCCGAACCGAAATTCCAATTTTCGCACATACGTGTTCCATATGTGTGTGGCCAACATAATATGGCGTCGGAATTGCGAAATTCATCGCGCAAGCCCTCGAAAATCCACGTCAAAGTCTCGGGAATAAAATAATATTATTTTTCCAATTTTTGTCGAAATTCCAATTTTTGGCCAAAACCACTCTGAATGTGCGTGGCCACCCCAAAATGACCTTGGCCGCGAAAAATAACCTCAAACGGCCTCCGAATCCAGCCTCGATGCCCACAGGGGCAAAACCGTCATTTTCCGGGTCCCGAACCGAAATCCATTTTTTTTGTAGAAATGGGTGGCCCCAAGGTTGGCCAAGCCAAAAACGTCATCGGCCGTCCAAAATTGTCACTTTCAAAATTCTCGATTCCCGGACCCGAATTCTAAGAAATGACTAAAATCGAGCAATCGCAACTTTAGCTTATCTCTGGCTAACGGGTGGCTCTCTGGAATTACGCGCTCTCGACCCGTGACCGACACTAAGTCAAATCACGTTTAAGTTTACTCCACCCGGGACGACCTCGGTTGTCATATAATTGCGAGGGTCTGTCACTAGTGCCCTTTGGACACGATCAATCAAATAGATCGGTCTCGATTGGCTCAAAACATTCCCTCGTCAATCGATATGGTTGAAGATCGAACCCAGGTCGAGTTCTTTGGTCGTGCGAACTCAATCCCGTAACGGCCCTACCCCTAAGGTTAGCATCCCGTGAATGCGCATTTCCGGGTGAGACCTCACTATAGTGCATTGGTCAAATTCATTTCTTAAATCCCGGGAAAAGGATCGAAAATTCAGACTGTTACAGGGGGTGGTAGGGGTGGACGTGCATGGGCAGGAGCGGGAGAGTGAGAGAGAGAGAGAGAAAGAGAGAGGGAAAGAAAGTCAACCCAATCGAGTACGATCCAACGGCTCATGTTTGAACTCGATGATTGATCTAATGGTCAGGAAAAACCCTAATTATAAATTATGAAAAGGCCAAAAGACACTAAATAAAATCAACCCAGAGGGAGGTCTACTGGTCAAAATCCGCATCCGGTCTAAATTTCACTTTTCACTAATTCAGGGCAATATCGATGCTGGCCACAATAATATCGACATCGTCCAATTAAATTTGTCACGAAACTCTAAGAAATTTGATACACAAGTTCGGGCTCTAAATAACGATCAAATTCAATCGAATGCGATTTTAGTGAAATCTCAAATTTAAAACAACCCGAGAGTGATCAATTCTGGGCGAGATTTAACTATAAGCGCACTGCCGAAATATACGTTTTATAAATCTCAAAAATGGGTCGAAATTCGGAATGTCACA